CCTCTCTCTCTGACTCTACCTCTCTTATCTGTCTTTCTCTTTCTCTCTGCCTTTAATCAACCGCCCCCCTCTTGGCTCCTTCTCTCCTGGCGTTTTCCCTCTTCCTTCGTCCCTCCCCCTCCCTTCCTCCCACTCTCCCTCGTTCTCCCCCTCCTGCCACATGTACGCCCTCGCAATTCCAATGGCGGGCACATGTACGCCCACGAAGGATTTGCCGCCCGTTCAGGTTTGCCCGCCTGTCTAAGCCCGCCGCCCCCCGCAAAGAGAACCAATCCCCCCAAAGGAAGTGTGCTTGAAGACAAAAAGGGCGGCTATCGAGGGTGTGGGAAACTCGTTTTGAATGTCACGCGGGCCTTATAATGCTTGTTGTTGAATTCTCATTTTTGAAGATGATTATTGTTGACCCCCCCCCACCGGTGCATACTGTTTTTTCTCAATCAAAGTGTGCCCCTCGACGCTCGCACCCTGTTTTTTGACAGGGAAAGTGTTGATGCTCAAACTGGGCCCCTGGCCCCCGGGATGCAACAACAACGGCTCCCGCCAAAGACTTCCTTGCAATTTAGCCAGGACCCCCGCTCCCGCCCGAGACTTCCTCGCATTTTATTCAGGAATCGCGCTTTCGCTTAGGACTTCCTTGCAATTTATTCAGGAATCGCTCTCCCGGCGCTCTGGAGTCGCGCTCTCGCTGGAGACTTGCCTGCAACTTACTGAAGAATGGCCTTGCGTTGGGATTTCTTGCAATTTGCCCAAGTGCCGCGCTCCCGACACCCAGGCACCCAGGAGTCGCGCCCGTTGTGGCCCCATGTGCATTCCCTTCGTGGCCCCGCTGTCGCCATTTGTGTCCCCCTCACTGTCCTACGTGGCCCAGTTGCTACCCTCAGTGGCCCCATAGTTGCTTTCTGTGGCCCCGCATTATCTGCACTTCGTGGCCCCCGCTCTTTCGCGCTCTTCGTGGCCCCATACGCATTCCCTTCGTGTCCCCGCTGTCGCCCTTCGTGGCCTACTTCGTGCCCTTCGTGGCCCTGGTGTCGTTTTCTGTCGCTCTCGCTTTCGCTCGTCGTCGCCGTCGTCGTCGTCGTCGCCGTCGTCTTCGTCGTCGTCGTCGTCGTCGTCGTGGTCGGTCCCCTGTCCGTCCCTCTTGGGGTCGGGTCGACGGTCCGCGGCCGCCCCGCCGATCAGCGCTGCCGCTGGCCAGGCCGACGGTCCGCGGCCGCCCCGCCGCTTGCCGGGACCCGGCCTGCAGGGAAGAAAGGTATACCCCCCAAAAAGGGTTCGACCGAAAACGAAGAGGGCGGGTATCGAGGGTTTGGGAAATACGCGTGATTGGACACTCGAGCATATAAGGGCGAACCGTGTTAAACTCATTGTTGTTGTTGTTGTCGTTGTCGTTGTCGTCGTTGTTGTTGTTGTTGTTGCTGTTGTTGTTGTTGTTGTTGTTGTTGTTGTTGTTGTTGTTGTTGTTGTTGTTGTTGATGAGTTCTCATTTTTGAATAATTGTTGTTGACCCCCCCACAGGTGCATACTGTTTTTATTTAATCAAAGTGTGCCTTTCGACGCTCGCACCCTGTTTTTTGACAGGGAAAGTCTTGATGCTCAAACTGGGCCCCTGGCCCCCGGGTTGCAACAACAACGGCTTCCGCCTGAGACTTCCTTACAATTTAGCCAGGACCCCCGCTCCCGCCCGAGACTTCGTCGCATTTTATTCAGGAATCGCGTTTTCGCTTAGGACTTCCTTACAATTCATTCAGGAATCATTCTCCTGGCGCTCTGGAGTCGCGCTCTCGCAGGAGAGAGACTTGCCTGCAACTTACTGAAGAATGGCCTTGCGTTGGGATTTCCTGCAATTTGCCCAAGTGCCGCGCTCCCGACACTCAGGCACCCAGGAGTCTCGTCCGTTGTGGCCCCATGTGCATGCCCTTCATGGCCCCGCTGTCGCCATTCGTGCCCCCCTCACTGTCCTACGTGGCCCAGTTGCTACCCTCAGTGGCCCCATAGTTGCTTTCTGTGGCCCCGCATATCTGCACTTCGTGGCCCCCGCTCGTTCGCGCTCTTCGTGGCCCCATACGCATTCCCTTCGTGTCCCCGCTGTCGCCCTTCGTGGCCTACTTCGTGCCCTTCGTGGCCCTTCTGTCGTGCTACTTCTCGGCCCCCTACCCCACGCTCCCTCACACCCCTCCTCCCCTTCTCCAACTGTCCCCCTACCCACCCCCCCCTCTCGCTTTCGCTCGTCGTCGCCGTCGTCGTCGTCGTCGCCGCCGTCTTCGACGTCGTCGTCGTCGTCGTCGTCGTTGTCGTCGTCGTCGTCGTGGTCGGTCCCCTGTCCGTCCCTCTTGGGGTCGGGTCGACGGTCCGCGGCCGCCCCGCCGATCAGCGCTGCCGCTGGCCAGGCCGACGGTCCGCGGCCGCCCCGCCGCTTGCCGGGGCCCGGCCTGCAGGGAAGAAAGGTATACCCCCCAAAAGGGTTCGATCGAAAACGAAGAGGGCGGGTATCGAGGGTTTGGGAAATACGCGTTATTGGACACTCGAGCATATAAGGGCGAACAGTCTTAAACTCATATTGTTGTTGGTTGTCGTTGGTGGTTGTTGTTGTTGTTGCTGCTGCTGCTGCTGTTGAACATTATATCTCTAAAGAATAATTATTGTTGGGGCCCCTGGTGCGCGCCCCCCCCGCCGGCCTAGGCCGCAGCCTATTTTCATCATTTTCGTGAGGAAGTCTCAGGCAAAACGTGGGTGTCCGGATCCGGTTGTTTTGTTGTAATCCGTTTTCCCTTGCAAAAAACACTATAAAATGACATTTCTTGTTCTAATATAATCAAATTTCAAGAATCCCTTGCAAAAAATAAGGTAAAGTGGACATTCGCGCGCGCAAGACGAAATCCTTCCAAAACCTTAGTGTTCGCAGCGATTTTAACATAAAAACATCAAAAAACCAATGGTTTTTCAACAAAAAATTGTCAAAATCTCATCCCGCGCGCTCTTGCGGATTCGTAGGAAACCCAACACTTTTTAAACATTTCTGTCAAACGGGCTTTTGCGAGCAACTTTTTCGAACTTCTGCAACAACGGTTGCGCACCTGCCAGGGCCATCATCCCTGTCAAATAATACCATGCGGGACACATTCGTTTTTTCTTCGCGCGCGCACGCCGTCGTCGTCGGCCGCGGGGCCCTGAATAGTAGCCACGGTCGTCCGCATGCCACGAAGTGAAGTGTCCGAACGTCATAGGGCGGGAAGCTGGGTGTGGGTGGTGGCGAAGAGTCGTTTGGAAATTTGGTAGAGCTTGAACCGGCCCCCCCACAAAGTGGGGGTATTGCCCGCCTCCTATGAAAACCCTGGCACTGGTGAGAACGGAGTGTCCCCACGTGCTAGTAATTGTTGTTGTTGTTGTTGTTGTTGTTGTTGTTGTTGTTTCCCCCGGGGCTCGCACCCTGTTTTCTACAAGGGGAAGGGAGGTGTCACCAAACTGTGCCCCTGGCCCCCGGTTTTCAACAACAGTGTTTCCCGCTTGTCTCACAATTTATTCCCAAATCGCGCTCTTGCGCTGGACGTCTTCACAATTTATGCAGGAGTCGCGCTCTCGCGTGTGATTTCCTCGCAATTTATTCAGACGCCGCGCCCTCGACACTCAGGATTCACGTTCTCGCAGCGGATTTCCTGACGACTTATTTGGGAGTCGCGCTATCGCTCGAGACTTCCTCGCGATTCATGCAGGACGCACGCTTCAGCAACCCGCCTGCCCCTTGTCCCTTCCTTCCCTCCGTCCTCGCTTCCCTTGCCTTAGGGGCTGCCTGCAAAAAAAAACACGTTGCACGTAAGAAAGAGCTCCTCCCGAATGGGGGTACGATCGAAAACGAAGGGGGCGAGTACCGAAGGTTTGTGAGTAAGAACGAACAATATTTACATGATTGTTGTTGTTGCTGTTGTTGCTGTTGCTGTTGTTGTTGTTGCTGCTGTTGTTGTTGTTGTTGTGGTTGTTGTGGTGGTTGTTGTGGCTTTTGTTTTTTTTTGTTGTTGGTGTTGTTGCCGTTGTCGCTGTTGTTGTTGCTGTTGCTGTTGCTGTTGTTGTGGTTGTTGTGGTTGTTGTGATTGTTGTTGTTGTTGTTGTTGTTGTTTTTGTTGTTATTGTTGTTGTTGTTGTTGTTGTTCTTGTTGTTGTTTATGTCGCTGTCCATGATGTTGTTATTACTGCTGCTGCTGCTGTTGATGTTGCTGCTGCTGCTGTGGCTGTTGCTGTTGTTATTGTTGTTGTTATTGTTGCTGTTGTTGCTGTTGTTGTTGTTGTTGCTGTTGTTGTTGTTGCTGCTGCTGCTGTTGCTGTTGCTTCCCTCAATATATTCCAGTGAATTTCAGTGTGGATGCCCCTCCGTCTTTTCATCCTCCTCCTCTTCCTCCTTCTCCTCCCCCTTCTTCGGCTACTTTCTTCCTGCTTCACTTACTACTCGGCCCATTCTTTTTCTCCCTGCTGCACCTCGTCCTCACCATCGTCCTTTTCCTCGTGCCGCCATTGCTCCTCCACCTCTCCCTCCTCCACCTGTTCTTTACCTCATTTGTCTTGCTGCTCCTCCAACTCCTCGTCCCCATCCTCCTTCTCCCCGACCTCCTCCACCTGCTGCTCCTCATTCTCACCGTCCTCCCGCGCCTCCCGCTCCTCCTCCTCCTCCTCCTCCTCCTCCTCCTCCTCCTCCTCCTCCTCCTCCTCCTCCTCTCCTCCTCCTCCTCCTCCTCCTCCTCCTCCTCCTCCTCCTCCTCCCCACACTCCTGCTATTTTTCGCCGTGCTCTGCCTTCTCCTGCTCCTGCTCCCTCCTCCCCCCCTCCTCCTCCTTGCACTCGCCCGCGTCCTGCTCCTGGCCTCGTCGCGTGCGTCCGTGCCCCCGTTCCCGACCCCCCTCACAGGAGGTGCCAGTTCAAGACGGCGAAGCCAGAGCACAAGGGTTCGTACTTGCGCCGGATGACCGGCAAGATCCCGGAGAGCTGGGGCTGTGGCAGCCCCCTCCAGGGCGAGGCGGATGACGAGTTGGAAGCAGGAGGAAACATGAGGAAGCAGGAGGAGCATGTAGGAGGTGGACGTGTTATGGAGGCTTGTAGGGGCTCCTGTAATCTTCGACGGGGGTTCGGAAGACTCCTCCTCTTCGTCTTGTCCTTCCTACTCTTTCCCTTTTTCCTTATCCTGCTCCCCCCATCCTCCCATTTCCTCCGCTTCCTCCATGCCTTTCTGTTGCAGAGTCCTCCTCGTCGCTTCACAAGACGTGCCGATAGGTCGGGCCAGGCGTTTCGCCTGAGACTGTCTCACCGTTTACGTCGCTGACGTTTAAAATTTCCAACAGTTTCGCGGAGGGGGGCGAATCGTTTTCAAAGTGTGAGTCTCGCCCTAGCGACGCACATGCTTGCATTTCCAACAGTTGCAAGAATGGAGGGCGGGACGTTTTGAACATACAATTAAAGTTCGCATTTACAGGGATGGTGGTCGGCTGGTTTTCAAACCGTGGCTCGCGCCTCAGCGCCGCGCGCACTCTGTGCAAGCGCATCCCACAAGAACGTAGATTGCGGGTGGTCTCTTCGTAAATTATGACTCCCGCCGAAGCGGTCCGCACATCTGCGCACACAGGATGGGGGCCGGCCAATTTTCAAAATTTGGCTCTCGCTTGAGGCGTCCTCAGCCACGGTGGGGGCGTTTGTTAAGCAATGTGCGCAGCAGGCTTCAGCCCCTGGAGGATTCCTGATTTGACGAGGGCGGCGGTAAAGTCCATGACCAGTCCACGATCGAAGTTTCACTGGCTTCCAGACCCTGGATTCCTTATCCTCCTCCTCTGCGTCCTCCTCCTCATCCTCCTCATCCTCCTCCTCCTCCTCGCTCCTCCTCCTCCTCCTCCTCATCCTCCTCATCCTCCTCATCCTCCCCCGCAACTTGACTACAAGGGAGTCCTGCTACTGCACCAAGGTAGCGAGTATCCCCGTTGCAATTTGTGGGCTGGGTTCAAGGTCCTGTCTGGCAGGGGGCTCTTGTCTTTGGGGCAGAGGCTCCAAAAGGTGAAAGCCGACCAGGACACACAAGCCCTACCCGTAGGCAGCGAAGCCCGCTGACTGGCGGAAGGTAAGGATGCAGCAGACCGTTTGGCTCAGGCTGCTGCGCACAAGGGTGTTCAGCCCAGCGAAGCAGAGAGAGGTAACTTTGCAGATGATCGGGAGTTTCTGATCAACTACCTCAAGTATGTAGCCCAAGCTCTGGAAGAGTGGGCCGGGATCGCCCCCAGGAAAAGCAAAGGTTTGGCCGCCCCAGAGAAGAGCCTATCTCCCCCCACGGGTGCTGCCTCTGCCCTGACGTCGTGGACGCCGCCGTCGTCGGTCGTGCCTCCCCCCCTCCTCCATCGGAGCCCCACGAGGTTCCCATGGAGCCCAGGAAGCCTCACTCGTGGGCCCTAATCTCAGGATATTGGCGCTGCATTCTGTGTCGAGTGCAGACTAAGGTGATGAACCAGAGGACAGTCATTTCGGCTAAGAATTGCCCTGGTCACTGTAAGCAGTTGTCAGATCTCGTGCATGACAATAACGGCCATACTCTATGTTTCTTCTGAGCATCTTGAGTATCCCACGAGCATCTTGGATTGCCATAAGCGTGGGTCCTACTCGGAGGGGCTGGGTCGCGGGCTCACTGGAGTGTGCGGCACTCGAGTAAATCACCAAGGCGCGGCTACTCAGCTTGCCCGCGTCCAGGAGGGTCGTGTCCCGAAAGGCTCTAAGTCATCCCCGATCGTTTTTGCGACCCCAGGAATACCCCTGGCCCGATTGGTTCGCGAAGAGCAAGCCAAGGCCAGAGGGGAGGAGGCACCCAGTCCTACATAGTTGGCCGTGCCCACGGCGGACTTCTCACTCATCTGCTGTGTGCGTCCCTCCTCCTGGCGTGTCAGGCACCCCGTCTCAGGGGGTAGGCGCGCTGTAGTATGCACCCGCTGCGGCCCAGCTGCAACTCTGAGGCCTGCTTGTGTGTCCACGAGTCCAGGTAGGCCCACACCAGGGACGTGGCCTGCCGCCGTTCTGGCGTTATTTACACCAGGGGTTGGCGGCGCCGCGTCGTCCTGGCGTCGCCTCGAGACATTATTGTGTGTGTGTGTGTGTGTTTGCGTGGTTGTGCGCGCGCGCTTCCGCATGCGTGTCAGGCACCCCGTCTCAGGGGGAAGGCGCGCTGGAGTACTCACCCCCTGCGGCACAGCTGCACAGAGGGCCTTCTGAGGTGTGCTGGGCACGGGGGTGAACCTGGCTCAGCCAGTCCGCCCCGACGGTCGCTCGCCCACCCCCTCTTTTCCGCGGTAGCCTAAGCCCGCTGCAGGTTCGATCTGGGGTCTTTGTATTGTCCTGGCTGGCGGTGCTGGTGACGCGCAGCCAGCCCTGGAACTCGGGCCGTGGGGTTCCGTCAGCCAAGCGATGCTGGCCGTCTTTTTCACTGCGGCGTGCTGTTTGGCGATTCCCTGTTGCACGGCCTTGGAGCGCTGGCCGACTCCCCCACGGTGACTGTTGCACAGGGGGCCGCCCTCCGTGGGCCCCCTTGTGCGGGCGGCGGGGGTGAGAGCCGCTGAGGCTAGGTGTGCAAACGCCACATCTGGGCCCATCGCTCTCGTTCAGCGTCGGCAGCGTCCTGCCATCTCAGCGGCCAGTTGGCTCACCCGCGGCCGTTGTGGAGAACATAGGTGGCCCAGTGCCACGAGGTTTTGGGTTAGGGTCGTGTCGGCCAACCCTCAGCCTCCCTCATCAGCCATGTGATGGTCCTTGTCCTCCCCTTCCTCCTCCTCCTCCTCCTCCTCCTCCTCCTCCTCTCCTCCTCCCCCTTCCTCCCCCCTCCTCCTCCTCCTCCTCCGTCTCCTCCTCCTCCTCCTCTCTCTCCTCCTCCTCCTCCTCCTCCTCCTCCTCCTCCTGCTCCCAATCGCATGGTATTACCACAGGTGTAACGCTGTGCAGCGGCCCCACGGACGGAGGGCGGTGGCCTTGCAGGGCGGGGCCCTCGCTGGACGCACCTCTGGCTCGTATGGCCGTCTGCTCCTTGGTTCTCTCTCTATATCCAGGAGGCCTCCTTTTCTCCTTGCTGGTCTCCTTGATTCTTCCTGTCCAGGAGGATTGATATTGCATGGTTGTTTTCTCCTCAGTTCTTCTTATCCAGGAGGGTGCAGGGCAGCTCCTTTCCCCAGGTGGCCCCATCGCCCGAGTTCCGGACCTGTGAGACCGGCGCGAAGTGTTGGTTCTGGATGGTCTCCTGGATTCTGCACGAACGAGATGGGCACGGAAAGAATTGGTACGATGCCCAACAGCAGTTCCTGTTCGTTTTGAGCAGGGCTCGCTGTCCGCGCCGCCGCGGCCTGTGTCCATCTCAGACGGAAGGCCGCCTGCCCAGCAGCGGCCGCTGTCGGTTTGGGACAACATTTGTTGTTGGGCATTGTACCCATTATTTCCGTACCCATTTCGGGCGTCCTAATTGATTCTTTCTGTCCAGGAGGATTGATATTGCATGGTCGTTTTCTCATTAGTTCTCTCTATCCAGGAGGGTGCAGGGCAGCTCCTTTTCCAGGTGGCCCCATCGCCTGAGCTTCGGACCTGTGAGGCCGGCGCGAATTGTTGGTTCCGATCTGATGCTCAGGGCGACGAGGGCCGGCAAAGGGAACCGCCGGGGCACCGGGCTCTTTCACCGCGGCGGAAAGCGGCGGCAAGGCCGCGGATGCATACATAACTAAGGCAGAAGCGGCCCTCGTACAACACACACGCACATCCATACATGTATATTTAAATGTATTTATATATAAATATGTATATACACATATACTTATACGACTACCCTTCGGGTGATGATGAGGTTGTGGGTGGGGGGGGGAACCAACATCTGACCCAATCCATATCACTAGCGATCTCACTCAACGGGACACCACGGGACACCACGGGACACCACGGGACACCACGGGACACGTGCCGACCTCACTATGGATCTCACTATCGATCTCACTCAACCGGACACCACGGGACACCATGGGCTACCACGGGACACCACGGAACACCGCCGGACACCTCTCGATCTCATTATCGGTTTCACTATCGATGTCACTATGGATCTCACCCAACGGGACACCATAGGACACCACGGGACACCACGGGACACCCCGGGACACCCCATCGATCTGTTTATCGATATCAATATCGATCTCACTATCGATCTCACTCACCGGGATACCACGGGACACCACGAGACACCTGTCGATCGCACTATCGATCTCAGTATTGATCTCACTTTTCGGGACACCGCGTGACACCACGGGACACCCCGGGGCACCACATTGATTTCAGCATCGATGTCAGTATCGTTCTCACTATCCATCACACTCAACGGGACACCACGGGACACCACGGGACACCACGGGACACCTGTCGATCTCACTATCGATATCACTATAGATTCACTTTTTGGAACACCACGGGACACCACGGGACACCACTGGACACCACGGGGCACCACATCGATCTCAGTATCGATATCACTATTGATCTCACTATCGATCTCACCATCGATCTCAGTCAACGGGACACCACGGGCCACCACGGGACACAACGGGACACCACAGGACACCACGGGACACCACGGGACACGTGTCGATCTCACTATCGATCTCATTCAACGTGACACCAAGGGCCACCACGGGCCACCACGGGACACCACGGGACACCGCGGGACACCACGGGACACCGCGGACACCATGCGCCCTTTATCCGTTTTGGATCCTTGATGGTTTCGATGCTTCAGGTTTCACGAAGCCATGTGTGTGTGTGTGTATTTTCTAACAGGGATCCTGTATGGATCCACGATAGCTACAACCTTGTAAAGTCCACGTGACCACATGTCGTCACAGGGATACTGCATGGCTCCACGATGGATCCACCATGGTTCCCAGGCTGGGAACTTGGCGAATCCATATGTTTTCATGTGGATCCTGCTCGGAACCACGCTCGTTCCGACCTTGCACATTTCACGGAGACATCTGTTTTGGCGGGGCTCCTGCTTGGATCCACGACGGCTCCCAAGTTGGGAACTATGCAAAACCATATGTTTTCATGTGGATCCTGCCCGCATCCACGATGTATCCGACTTTCCACATTCTTCGGGATTATCACAGGGGATCCTGGATGGATCCACGATGGTTTCCACGATAAGCATTCGACGGCACCATTTGTTTTCACTTGGGGCCTACCTGGATCCAAGATGGTGCCGCGATGACTACGACGCTGAAGCTTTGATGAAGCCATCTGATTTGCAGGGTTCCTGCTTGGCCCCGCGATGGTATCGACGCTAACATCTGCGAGCTCACAGGGGCCCTGCTTCTGCCGCAGTTGGCAGCACTGAGAGAGTCGTGATCTGCGGCCAGGGAGGGTGGGCTTTGCTCCTCTGTCGCGGAACGCGCTCCTCGATGCATCGAAGCAGAGGCGGTGCGGTTTCGCGAAGCACACGATGGCGTTGCCGCACGGGCCGCAGCGGCACTACGGCAATCCAGTGTGCTTCGACGGTAGAGGGAAACAATTACTGAACACTCCCCCTCCTCCCCAAACTCAATGTTGGCACGCGCGGGGGGAAACTGCGGTCGAAGTGCACCTCATCAGACCCACCGCCAAATTTGAACATTGGGGGGATGGGGGAGGCGTTGACGGATGACTGTGGCATGTGTTCGCTAATTTGTTCCGAGGCCTGGATCTCTGCAGCTCTGTCCTCCCCCTAGCCCGGGGGAGGGCGCAAGACCTGGCGCTCGCGCGGAAGGGGAAACAGGGGCAGACGAACAGAGGCTCGGGGGCGCAGCTGCAGAGCCTCCGCGGCCCCGAGCATCACCCAAAGCCGAGGAGGAGGAGGAGGAGGAGGAGGAGGAGGAGGAAGAGGAGGAGGAGGAGGAGGAGGAGGAGGAGGAGGAGGAGGAGGAGAGGAGGAGGAGGAGGAGGAGGAGGAGGAGGAGGAGGAGGAGGAGGAGGAGGAGGAGGAGGAGGAGGAGGAGGAGGAGGAGGAGGAGGAGGAGGAGGAGGAGGAGGAGGAGGAGGATGGGGGGGAAGGGGGAGGGGGAGGGGGAGGGGGAGGAGGAGGGGGGGGGAGGAGGAGGAGGAGGAGGAGGAGGAGGAGGCGGAGGAGGACTAGTTCAGGCACAGGGCGGGTTTTGTGGGCCCCCGTCCTCGCTCGCGGGAAGCCGCGCACCGAGCCGCTGCCAGACGACTTTCCGGGGAGCCATCCCTGGCACGTAGTGGAGGGAGGGGGGGGCCCAGCGAGCTGAGGAAGACGCCCGAAAACGTCTCCCTACTCGTCCTGCCTCCTTCCCCCGCTTTCTTCCTCTCCTGCTGTTCCTCCTCTCCTGACTCTCTTTCTTTTCGTTCTCATTCTTTTCTCCTCATTCTCTCGCGTGTTCCTCCCTGTTCTCTCCCTGTCGTCCTCCTTTTCTCCCTGCCCTTTTTATTCTCACGCCAAAAACAGCCATGCAAGCACAGCTAATATTGAAAGAGACAAAATCGGAGGGGCGAGAGCGGAGGGAAGAGAATGGCAAGCCCGGTGCGCTCGCGCCTCATATGACATCCTATCCCTCCCCCATCACTCCCCATTGCGTTGATTTGTCTCTACCCGCGAACGTGTGCCGTAGCTGACCTACAACTCCAGCCAAAAGACCACATCGTGTTATGCGCAATCGAAGAGAGGGGAGCGGCGTGCACAGGAGGAGAAGGAGGAGGAGGTTGAGGAGGAGGAGGAGGAGGAGGAGGAGGAGGAGGAGGAGGAGGAGGAGTAGAGGGAGGAGGCGGAGGAGGAGGGAGGTGGCGGCTCGGCCACGCGGCAGGAGTATGAGGTGGTGGGTGAGCAGGATGATGAGCGGGGGAGAAGGACGAGGATTAACAGCAGCAGTATGAATTGGACTGGAAGGAGCGGCAGGAACAGGAGGGCCGGGAGAAGGCGGAGGAGGGGAAAGGAGGGGGGCACGGAGCAATTACATTTGCTCCCTATCCCCTTTGCCCCGACCTCTCTCCACGCCCTTGTGCGGCTGTCCTCCTCCCACCCTTCTCTCCTGTTATCTTCCTCCTCATCCTGCAGTGGCGGAGCGAAGTGGGGTGGGCTGAGAGGGGGCGAGGCCGATGCTCTCGCCTCAGCGCCGCCCGCGCCCGTAGCTCAGGTTCGATTGGCACTCTTGCCCCAGCGCTGGCCACTCCCTGCGGGGTCGCGGAGTGCTGCTCCTCCTCCTCCTCCTCCGCAGGTCTGCGAGTGGTGGCCCGCGCGTGGTCCCCTTTCGCCTTCGTGGGGCCCTGCAGGACTGCGCGACCGGCGTTCCAGGCGGTGCTCTGGCGGGCTCCGGACAGAAAGCCAGGTCCATCTCGTGAGGGTGGCTGGCATCGCATCAGCGCGCGAGCTCGGCTTCGACCTCGGCTTCGGTTGTGCGAGGGCGAGTGGATGAGGGCTGTGCACGGTTTGATCGGCTCGGTAATGTTCGGCCACGCGCAGAGGGGGGTGGGGGGAGGGGGGAGGGCTTCTTAGAAGCACCCCTGCTTCTTAGAAGGCGCGGGCCTTATCTATAGATGTAAGGCTGGCGCCTTCTAAGAAGCAGCCTCCTTCTAAGAACCCCTCCCCCCTCCCTCTACCCCCTTGTGCGCGCCGCCAAAATGTGTGCCGATGCCTAAGCATGGCAGCGATCGAGTCGATCGCGCCGCCCTCAGCCAGTGGCGGCTCGCGTTCTCCACGGGTGCACGCTCTCCACGGGTGGGGCTCGCTTCGATCTCTTCGGTTGCGCGTGCGATCCGGTCGATCTGCGATGAGGGGCGGCCTTTGGCCAGCCATGTGAGCTGAACGTCGCAGGGTATGCGCATGCCTGACCCGCTCAGGCTCGTGTGGGAGGTGGGCTTGGCCCAGTGCAGCAGCGCTCGCTGTGGCAGTGCGGCCCTCCGAATGCTCGGCCGAGCCCTGCTGACGGTCTGTTTGCAGTGACGGCAGTGCGAAATAACGGGGTATGTGGCTGTGCTTTCGCCCGTTACCAGTTCGTGTTACGTAGTGTGCCATTCATCTCGCCAGTATTTTTGCGCAGACGTTTACAAACTGAACAGACGTTGCTCGTGGAGGACGCACCTAGGTTTTATTGTAACAGGGAAGGTGCCCTTCGCTTGAAGGTGCGCACAAGTCAAGTGTCTGGATCATTCCTACAACTCCCTTTGCAGAGTGTCACATATGAGGAGGGCATGTGGGGCCAAGTACAGGGGAACCCTTCCGCCGAGGAGTATCTCATGCAGATGCCATCCAATAGCCTTCCCAGCCAGCCAAGGAACAACAGCGCGTCCAAGAAGCCGAAGCAGCGTGCCGCGGATGATCAGGAAAGTGGAGAACGAGGAGGAGAGGGAATGAGGATAAAGGAGATGAGACACTGCACGGACGCTGGAACCTCTTCGAGACTTGTGCCTAACCAGTTCCTTAGTGGAGCCATTTCTCTTACACTTGCTCGACGGCCGATTGCTGGTTGCAGGTCACATTGGTGTGTACTTCTCGACGTGTGGAACCGCCTGAGGGTTCTCGCAGGCGGAGAGGGGCCTGGGGGCGGGCTTTGAGCCCATCGTCTAGTCTAGCTCTTTCCGCTGCGTCCCATGCCATTGCGCTTGCCACCAGTACACGCCCCCAGCGCACGCGCCGTCGGGTCGTCCCTGGATCGTCTCGAGTCTACTGTCTGCGACCGCGTCGCGTCTTAGCTCGGACAGGAGAGTGGGGGAATGAGTGAGGGAAGGGGGGCGGGGTGGGCGAGGGGGGCGAGGATGGAGGGGGAGGGGGGCGTGCGAAGCCAAGAAGACATGCACCTCCTCCCCCTCCCCCTCCAACTCCCCTTCCGCTTCCTCATCCTCCCACTCCTCTTCTCACTCTTCCTATTCCTCCTTCTCGTCCTTCTCCGTTTCCACGTTGCTCGGACTTCATGCTAGAGCACGCAGCCTTCCTCCTCCTCCTCTTCCCGCTGCTTCGCGGAGCTTCTTGCGGCGCGGCTTTCGTGCACGCGCTGTCCACGCAGGTGTGTGTCTCTTACATGCCTGTGCGAAGAGCAAGCAGTCTCCCTCCCACCCTCAGATCAATATTGAGTCTCAAATGTTTGGCCCGCGTGTTTGTTTCCTCATTGATTGGGGGTTGTGGGTGTGTATGTGTGTGTGTGTACCTAACTTTGGCACGAGGGGTGGAGTGGTGTGATAGCCTTGTCCTCTGTGCATGCTGAGCACCACAAAGAATACATACACACGGGCTTAGTTTTTCCTGCGCGTCCCGAACACCGCAGAAATGGCGTGCACAGGCTGCTCAAAAGCGAAGGTGGCCGCCTCAACCGTGAATCCTGGCCACGTCGTTTACGCGGCCGCTTGCGGGAAACGTTCTGCTGGCAGGGTGCACCGCGTGGGTTGGGGTGTGTACCTGAGTTTAACCCGCGAAACAGAAGAGTGTGGACCGCGTGGACATCGGGAAAAGAAAGGACATGCGGGAGGGGGACCTCTTCTTGCCTCAAAGTCCACACGGTCCCCACTTCTTTAACCATGGCCGATGCTTCAGTCCGCGCGGCCCGCACGTGTCGCACGGCGGGCTCATGTTCAGCAGGCCGACTCTAGAACTCCGCCGTGGGCTCTTCCTTCTGCGCATCCTGAGCGCCACAAGGGAGGCACGCATACGTGCTAATAGAATTTCCCCTGCGCGTCCTGACACAGAAACAAGCGCGCCCAGGCTGCTCGGCAATGACGGTGACCCGACCCTCCGCCAATCCCTGCCGCGCCGTCCGCAGGACCGCCTCCAGGCAAGACGCATGTCTTCGGCGGACGCTCCGAACCGTGCGGTCCACACGGTCCAGACGGCGCTCTCCGATTTCCCAAACCGACTCAATATCACCCGTCGAATTCAAACGCAAGCTTTTGATGCTGGTCGACGCGCAGAAAACGCGGCCCACGGGGCCCGACTTCTGTGTCTGCGGTCGCCTGCTTCGGCGCGAGCAGTGCCACATCTGGGTCCTGGGGCGCCGCCAGGTCGCTGGAAGAACTCCCTCTCGATCTCGAGAGAGGGATGCAGGACTCGGGGAACGAAAAATGGCATAAACGTAAAAACTCGGAGGTCCGCGCGGATTTCTTGGATCTGCGCTGGACCCTCCTCCCTGGCGCGCGGAGCGCGCCAGGGGCGGCTCCGGAGGCGCCGCCCGGGGGCCCCAGCGCCGATCCGAGAAATCCGCGCGGACCTCCGAGTTTTTATGTTCATGTCATTGCTCGTTTCCCCAAGGCCTCCGCCCTTGCTCGCTCACCCGCGGGGCGCCTCAAGCTGCGGGCGCCGCGCGCGCCGCGGCCCCCCGGGGGCCGAGCGCTGCCTCTCTCTCCGCCCAGGCCGGCGGCGCGAGGGCGCGCAGCGCGGGCCGCCCGCCGCGCGATCCGCGGGGGGCGCCATGCGCGCTGCTGCGGCGGGCTCGCGCCGCGCCGATCGGCGGCAGCCCCCGCCGCGGGCGTTCCGCGCCGGACGCCGGCGGCGGCCCCGAAATCGGTCGGGCACGTCGGAGGCGCCCGAGCGTGCCAGGCGGAACGATTTCTTCCCGTGGCGTCGGGAGCCGGCGCGGGGGTCGGCACGGCACGGAGCGGCGGCCGCGCCGCGCGGGGCGCGGTCCGCGAGGTCAGGGTCGAGTCGGGCGTGGTCCCTGCACAGGAGGAGTATCCGAGAGTGGCGAGACAGATAGTCGGCTGGCGATGTTTCGCGCTCTTTTGATTAGTTCTGGCTCCTTTCTGATTGCGGTGGGGGCGTTCATTACGGAATGTGCCCAGGGGGCTTCAGACCCTGGAGGGTTCTTTCCGATGAGGTCGGCAGTGATATCCATGGCCACTCCACGATGGGTGTTCCACCGGCTTCCAGACCCCGGATTTCTTATCCAATGGTTCCCCTTCTACCCAATGCCCTCACCGTGCTCTTTTCTTCCAGCATCCGCCCGTAGGAGGGGGGGCCTGACCTACAGTCGGGGCGCTGAAGAAGGAACCCTTTTCGTTGGGGAGGGGCTCGGTGTTCCTTGATTGTTCCAAAGTTTGCCTCGGGTCTTCCTGAGGGTTTCCATGGGAAATCGAAGTTGAACTTTATGGGGGGCAGGGGCCCCGTTCCTTATTTAGGGTTCCTTAGGCCAACGCCCCCACTGTACCTGTTAGGTGACCCGCGTCTCCTCCGACTCTGCCCGGCCCGGCGGCACGGCCCAGGTGCAGCCAGCGTCACCTTCGAGTCGCTGGCCCTGGCGGCCTCCCGCGCCGTCACCGACCGCGCGCTCACGGGCGGGGGCGCCCAGGCCGCCTCCGCGCCCCGGCGGGTGCCACCGCGCTCGCGTGCGGGCTGCTACGTCTTCGACGGCTTCGACGGCGACGACGGCGGCGACGACGACGACGACGACGACGACGACGACGACGGCGACGGCGACGGCGACGACGACGACGACGACGACGGCGACGGCGACGGCGACGGCGACGGCGACGGCGACGGCGACGGCGACGGCGACGGCGACGGCGACGGCGGCGACGGCGACGGCGACGGCGACGGCGACGGCGACGGCGACGGCGACGATCACGACCACGACAGTCGCACGGCACCGACGCGTCACTGAGCACGGGCGCACCGAGCAGCCGCTTCCCAGCGGCTGGAGCGTCCTCCCGATGCTTCACGCAGGGGGCTGGCAGGCCCAGAGGCCCTGGGGACCTCTTGGGAGCATCTTCGGGGTCTGCTGGCTGTCTCGGGGGTCATCCTGGGATGCAGGGGCTTCAAACACCAGTTCGAGTTCCCCGGGCCTTCACTTGAGGGGACCTTGTGGATGCCCTGTGGGCGTCTCTTGGGGGCATGGGGGGCCCTCTTGGGCGGATCTTGGGGGCCCCTTGGTTTGGGCTGGACGCTTTGAACACGTGAAAAAGCGAGCTGGCGAAGTTCACGCAGGGACTTCCGCTGTCCAACCAGGCTTGCCGAAGGATTTCTGTTTTCTTCGTGAACAGCCCCTCGTCCTTTCTCCCTTCCTCTTGTACGCCGGACGATTCGCATTTCGGTCGCCCCGGGTACAGTCGGGGCCCTGAAGAAGGAACCCCTTTCGTTGGGGAGGGGCTCCGTGTTCCTTAGTTGTTTCGCAGCTTGCCTTGGATCTTCCTCAGGTTTTCGATACGAAATCGAAGTTCAGCTTATGGAAAATAGGGGCCTCGTTCCTTATTTAGGGTTCCTTAGGTCAACGCCCCGACTGTAGCCGCATGCTGGAGCGGACTGCCTCTGCTTTGCCGCCGACGAGGAAGAGCTTGTGAACAGCCGGTGGGTGCGCTCGGTCTGCGCCGGCCGTGGCTCTCCTCGGGGCAGACCCCTGGACTCTCGCTGCTCTTGCCAGTGGCGTGCCTCGGGGCTCCCTTTGGTCGTGGTTTGTTCGCGGTGGCGTTCCTGGGAATTGCTTGGCCTTGTCTCTTCCCAGTGGCGTTCCTCGGGGTTCCCCGGTCCTGGTTTCGGTCTCGGTGCTCTTTCCAGTGACGTTCCTCGGGGCTCCCCGGTCTTGGTTTGTTCGCGGTGGCATTCCCGGGGATTGCTTGGCCTTGTCTCTTCCCAGTGGCGGTCCTCGGGGTTCCCCGGTCCTGGTTTGCTGCAGTGCTGGTCCTCGGGGTTGCCCGGTTCTGTTTTTCCTCAGCAGTGCCGAGCCGTGCCGAGCAACACGCAGCAATGCCAGGCAACGCCAAGCGATGCCTGGCGGTGCCAAGCAAAGCAACGCAATGCCAAGCAATGTGCAGAAAAGCCAATTAACGCCAATGAACTCCAAGCAATGCCAAGCAATGCCAAGCAATGCCAATCGATGCAAAGCAAAGCTAAGAAACGCCCAGTACCGTTAAGCAGCGCCCAGCAATGCCAAGTAATGCCCAACAATGGCAAGCAATGTCCAGTACTGCCCAGCCATGCCAAGCAAAACCAAGCAATACCAAGCAACGCCAAGCAACGCCAAGCAATGCCAAGCAATGCCCAGCAATGCCCAGCAATGCCCAGCAAAACCCAACAATGCAAGCCAAGGCAGTATCAAGCAAATCAAAGCAATGCCAAGCAATGCCAAGCAATGCCGCTCATGAAGAGTACTCTCTTGCTTGAAGCCGCGCCGGGGTCATCTTTCTTGTCGTTCTGATGATGTTTGCGTCTCTTGGTCAGCACCCAGAGCCTGCCCCAGGGAGCCCCTACATCCCCCCTCGAAATCAGACGCAAGAACTTCCCGCGACGTGGCCGCGCCCCGAAAGTGTTCGCGCCGAAAAATTGACGAAACATTGGCGACTGCAAACACAATGTTCGCGGGAAGTTCTTGCGCCACTGCACAGGCGAGAACGTCGCGACAATCTCAATGTTTCGCCGAAGAATTGGGACACTTTCGGCGCGAACACTTTTTCGATGCCACACATGATCTTCGCCACACTTTCGGCGCGAACACTTTTTCGACGTCACAATCTCAATGTTCGCGCCGAAAAAATGGCGACGGCAAACACAACAAAAAATCTGACCCCGCGGGCGAAGAGTCGCGCGTCGACCAATGGTAACAACTTGCGTTTGATTTCGAGGAGGGCAGGACGAGGAGGAGGATGAGGAAGGAGGAGGAGGAGGAGGAGGAGGAGGAGGAGGAGGAGGAGGAGGAGGAGGAGGAGGAGGAGGAGAGGAGGAGGAGGAGGAGGCGGACGAGGAGGAGGAGAAAAAGAAGCATAGACAGTAGGAGGAGGAGGAGGAGCAGGATGCGGAGGAGGATAAAAGGAGAAAGAGGAGAAGGAAGAGGAGGAGGAGGAGGAGGAGAAGGAAAAGGTTTGAGGACAATGAGGAGGAGGTGGAGGTATGAGGAGGGGGCAGACGAGCAGTAGGAGGAGGACCATGAGTAGGAAACGGATGATGATGCTGCTGATGATGATACTGTTGATGAGGATGATGATGCTGTTGCTGTTGCTGATGATGATGATGCTGCTGCTACTGATGATGGTTATGATCATGCTGACGATGCTGCTGATGATGATGGTGGTGATGGTGATGTTGCTGATGCTTGTGATAATGTTGATGCTGATGATGATGATGATCGTGGTGATGATGCTGATGATGACGAGGAGGAGGGGAAGGAGTAAAAGGAGGAGTAGGAGGAGCATGATGATGATGCTGATGCTGATGCTGATGCCGATGCTGATGATGCTGATACTGATGAGGATGATGAAGATGATGCGCTCATGACGATAATGATGATGACGATGATGAAGATGTTGACAATGATGATGCTGATGCTCATGATGATGCTGATGATGATGGTAATGCTTATGATGGTGCCGATGATGATGGTGATGACGATTATGATGATGTTGATGGTGATGATGCTGATGCTGATGATGATGTTGATGATCCTGATGTTGATGATGCTGTAACTGCTGACGATGATGATGCTGTTGATGATGCGGATGATGATGTTGCTGCTGATGATGCTGATGATGATGATGACGATGCTGATGCTGATGATGACGATGACGCCGATGCTGCTGATGATGGTGGTTATGATGCTGATGCTGAACGTGATGGTGATGATGATGCTGCTGCTGGTGAGGATGATGGCGATGACGAAACTGATAAGGATGCTGCTTATGACGACGATGCAGATTATGGTGATGCTGATGCTGCTGATGAGGCTGATAATGATGATGCTGATGATGATGATGCTGATGCTGATGCCGATGATGATGCTGAAGATGATGCTGCTGATGATGATGCTGATGATGCTGCTGCTGCTGATGATGATGATGATGATGATGCTGATGCTGATGCTGATGCTGATGATGATAATGATGATGGTGATGCTGCTGCTGATGATGATGATGTTGTTGTTGGTGCCCCTGATTATGATGTTGTTGATGGCGATACTGTTGATGATGCTGATGATGACGATGCTGCTGATGCTGTTGATGCTGAGCAAGCTGATGTTGCTGATGATGATGCTGATGATTATGGTACAGCGGGTAATGCGTATGCATATGGTGATGACGATTATGCTGATGATGCTGCTGCTGGTGATGATGATGCTGGTGATTCTGATGATGCTGGTGCTGATGTGGAGTTAGGAGGTAGGAGTTATGAGGTAGGAAACTTGAGAAGGGAGGAGGGATCATGGAGGAGGGAAGAGGGGGGGGAGGAGGAGGAGAGGCGGGAGGCGGGAGGACGGAGGAGGAATAGGGGAGAGGAGAAAGATAAAGAGGATGAGAAGTCGAACGAGCAGGAGGAGGCGGAGGAGTCGGAGGAGGCGGAGGAGGAAGAGGATGATGAGGAGGAGGAGGACTAGCAGGAGGAGGAGGAGGAGGAAGAGGAGGAGGAGGAGGAGGAGGAGGAGGGAGAAGGAGGCGGAGCAGGAGCAGGAGAATGAGGAGGACGATGAGGAGGGGGAGGAGTTGGCTGAGGAGGAGGAGGAGGAAGAGGATAAGGAGGAGGAGGAGGGAGAAGGAGGAGGAGGAGGAGGAGGTGGAGGCAGGAGGAGCAGGATGAGGAGGAGGATGAGGAGGAGGAGGAGGCGTATGAGGAGGAAATGAGGCGGAGGATGAGGAAGAGGAGGAGGAAAAGGATGAGGAGGATCACTAATACTAATCCTAAAAAGGGAATATGACGACTACGATTAAAACGAAGAGGACGAAGTATAATGCTTTTACGAAAATTAAGAACACGACGGCTCATATTAATACCAAGAACAAGCGGACGAGGAATACCACTAATACTAAGATTTCAAATCGCTACCACCAAGAAGGATATCAACACGACGACTAATGGTACGAACGCTAAGTCGAATGTTGCAGCATTGCCATTCGTACTGTTACTTTTGTCCCTCGTGTTATTGTTATATCAGTATGACCGTTCCTATTGTTATTGATGCCACTAGTCGTATTGACCTTACTATCATTATTCCCAAATATCCTTGGTTGGGTATTCGTTTTGAATAGTGCACTGCTTCCCTTCTCCTCCCGCCTCCCGCCCCCCGCCCGCCTGGTGCGTACCGCTGGTGTGTGCATCTTGCATGCGGTACCTCTTGTGTGTGCATCTTGCCTGGGGGCTGCGATATGCGAAACCGTCGCCGCTTTCGAGGGCTGCTGGGGGGGGTGGGCGACAGCATAGTGGGTAGCCGCCGCGGACCCAAATTAGACCTCCCCATCCCTGGGGGGCTGCGATTTGCAAAGCTATCGCCACTTTCGAAGGCTACTGGGGGGGACAGCAGAGTGGGTAGCCGCCGCAGACTCAACTTAGACCTCGCCATCCCTGGGGGGTGGTGGTGGTGGCTGCGATTTGCGAAACCGTCGCCACTGTCGAAGGCTGCTGGGGGGGGGGCGACAGCATAGTGAGTAGCCGCCGCGGGCCCACATTAGCCCTCGCCAGTCATGGGGGGCTGTGATTTGCGAAACTGCCGCCACTTTCGAGGGCTGCTGGGGGGGACAGCATAGTGGGTAGCCGCCGCGGAGCCAAATTTGACCTCGCCATCCCTGGGGGGGGGCCTGCGATTTGCGAATTTGTCGCCACTTTCGAGGGCTGCTTGGGGGGCCAGCATAGTGGGTAGCCGCCGAGGAGCCAAATTAGACCCGGCGTTCCTGGGGGGCTGTGATTTGCGTAGCCGTCGCCATTTTCGAGGGCTGCTTGGGGGCCAGCATAGTGGGCAGCGGCCGCGGACCCAATTTTGACCTCGCCGTCCCTGGGGGGGCTGCGATTTGCGAAACCGTCGCCACGCTCGATGGCTGCTGGGGGTGGGACAACATAATGGGTAGCCGCGGCGGAGCCAAATTGGACCTCGCCGTCCCTGGGGGGCTGCGTGCGAAATTGTCGCCGCTGTCGAGGGCTCCTGGAGGGGGCAGCATAGTGGGTAGCCGCCGCGGGCCCAAGTTAGACCTCGCCATCCCTGGGGGGCTGCGGAGCTGTCGCCACTTTCGAAGGCTGCTTTGGGGGGGGACAGCATAGTGGGCAGCCGCCGCGGAGCCAAATTAGACCTCGACATCCCTGGGGGGGGGGGCCTGCGATTTGCGAATTTGTCGCCACTTTCGAGGGCTGCTGGCGTGGCCAGCATAGTGGGTAGCCGCCGAGGAGCCAAATTAGACCTCGCCATCCCTGGGGGGCTGCGATTTGAAAAGCTATCGCCACTTTCGAGGGCTGCTGGGGGGGTCAGCATAGTGGGTAGCCGCCGCGGAGCCAAATTAGACCTCGCCATCCCTGGGGGGCTGCGATTTGCGAAACTGTCGCCGATTTCGAGGGCTGCTGGGGGGGAACAGCATAGTGGGTAGCCGCCGCGGAGCCAAATTGGACCTGGCCATCCCTGGGTGGCTGCGATTTGCAAAGCTATCGCCACTTTCGAGGGCTGCTGGGTGGCAGCATAGTGGGTAGCCGCCGCAGCCGCCGCAGACTCAAATCAGACCTCGCCACCCCTGGGTGGCTGCGATTTGCGAAACCGTCGCCACTGTCGAAGGCTGCTTGGGGGGGGCAGCATAGTGGGTGGTAGCCGCCGCAGATCCAACTTATACCTCGCCATCCCTGGGGTTGGCGATCTGCGAAACCGTCGCCACTGTCGAAGGCTGCTGGGGGGGGGGCCAGCATAGTGGGTGGCCGCCGCAGGGCTAGATTGGACCTCGCCATCCCTGGGCGGCTGCGATCTGCGAAGCCGTCGCCACTGTCGAGGGCTGCTTGGGGGGGGGGGGGCAGCATAGTGGGTAGCCGCCTCAGATCCAGAGCAGACCTCGCCGTCCCCGGGGGAGGGGGGGGGGGTGCGATGGGCGAAATTGTCGCCACTTTCGAAGGCAGCTTGGGGGAACAGCATCGTGGGTAGCCGCCGCAGCCGCCGCAGACTCAACTTAGACCTCGTCATCCCTGGGGGACTGCGATTTGCGAAACCGTCGCCACTTTCGAGGGCTGTTTGGGGGACCAGCATAGCGATCAGCGAAACTGTCACCACTTTCGAGGGCTGCTGGTGGGTCCAGCAGGGTGAGGCACCGCGCAGATCTGAGCGAGACCTCGCCGTCCCTGGGGGGCTGTGATCTGCGAAACCGTCGCCACTTTCAAGGGCTGCTGGCGGGTCCAGCGGAATGAGGCTCCGCGCAGATCTGAGCGGGACCTCTCCTTCGTTTGGGGGCTGCGATCTGCGAAACCGTCGCTATTTTCGAAGGCTGGTGGCGGGTCCAGCGGGGTGAGGCACCACGCAGATCTGAGCGGGACCTCGCAATCCCTGGGGGCTGCAAGCCTCACGAATGCCGCTCGCAGAGGTAAATGCGCCCATACCTCGTCATCACCTCCGTATAACGTCTCTCAAGCTACTCATGGCCCGTATTGCGCAGGGGTCGGATACGTCGCCAGGATTATATTTATTGTGGTTGTTCGTATTCGTATTGTTGTTGTTCGTAGGCTTACCATTCTGTAATAGTAGGATCATCCGTGTTATCAGTATCATCAGTATCATTATGAATGCTCAGTTTGACTAGCAACACTAATTCTCATACTACTGATACTAATAATGCTTTTTCTTACTTTCATAGTTACTACTATTTCTCTTATTGATAGACTACCAACATTCTTATTATTCCTATCACTATCACAATCTTTTTTCTTCTTCTTCTTATTATTATTCCCACTAGCGCTGTTATTTGTTCATTGTTGTGCATTGTTGTTGTTGTTGCTGTTGTTGTTGTTGTTGTTCGTAAGGTTATTATTAGTAGCAGCATTAGCATTATGATTCGTATCGTTATTATCCGTATTATTATCATTATTATTATATGTATCATTCGTATTAGTTTTATTTATTGCAAGTCTTAATATTATTCGTACGAATCTTTTTCGTACTATTTTTTATTATGGCTATCACTTGTATCACCCATCGTATTTGTTTATTTATATACCATTATTGTTATTGATATCCACAGTATTGTTCTACTCACTCTCATCATGTTTGTTAATACTAGTCATGTTAATTATAGTCACACCTTTACTAACGAAACGGATAAGGATACGATTGCAGCGAATACTATTAATACTTTGAGGAGAAAGAGCCAGAGGAGGAGGGGCTGTGGATGCCACGAGGCCGTCAAGAACTCCATGCGCGGCACCATGGGGATCACGAACTCGACCACCTCGCCAACCACGTCCTGGGGAAGAAAGGCTGGCTGTCTCTCGCCCCTTTCCGTGCTATTCGATGCCCATCCCCTTTCAATTGCAATTCTAGACGCTTCGCGTGGTCAGACCTACCCACCCAGAAACGATGCCCAGGCGAGCTGCCCTGATCAGGCATTGCGGGAGCATGCAGTGGAGTAAAGGCTGGGAAGCCGTCATACCCCACGAAGGGGAGGAGGAACCAGAGGAGGAGGAGGAGGAGGAGGAGGAGGAGGAGGAGGAGGAGGAGGAGGAGGAGGAGGAGGAGGAGAAGGAGGATGAGAGGAGGAGGAGGAGGAGAGGAGGAGGGGGAGGAGGGAGGAGGAGGAGGAGGAGGAAGGGGGAGGAGGAGGAGGAGGAGGAGAGGAGGGGAGGAGGAGGAGGAGGAGGAGGAGGAGAGGAGGAGGAGGAGAAGGATGAGGAGGAAGAGGAGGAGGGAGGAGGAGGGGAGGAGGAGGAGGGAGGATGAGGAGGAGAGGAGATGAGGATGAGGAGGAGGAGGAAGAGGAGAGGAGGAGGATGAGGAGGAGGAGGAGGAGGAGGAGGAGGAGGAGGATGTGAAGGAAGAGGTGGCGGACGAGGAGGAAGAAAATGGAGGAGGAGGAGGAGAGGAGGAGGAGGAGGAGGAGGAGGAGGAGGAGGAGGAGGAGGAGGGCGAGCAGAAAGGCCACAAGGGGTGTGTCAGGGGAGCCTCTTCGGGCCTCTTGGGGGTCTCTTGGGGGCCTCGTATTTGGGGCATCTTGGGACCTCTTGGGCCACCCCCCGGGAGCCTCTTGGGACCCTCGTGGGGTATTCTTGGGGGCCTCGGGTGCCACCTTGGGGCCATCTTGGGGGTGTCGATCAAAGAAAAGGAAGGTTCCAATTAGCGTTGCTCCCCCATGAGGCCAACATGTAGCCAAACACCAGGGTAATTTCAATGATTTGTGCCTTCTCGCCGAGTCCGTTCTGGACGATCTTGCGACCCGCCCGCGACCCGCTCCCGTCCAGGTCCAGGGGGAGGGGGTAGGGGGAGGGGTCAAGACACCCTCCCCGCCTGCCAGCTGTCTCGCTCACTCCAACCCGCCCTCCAACACAGAAGTAGCACCTGGGCCTCATTATGCTCAGCGGTCGTCCATGGATGGGCAGCTACTGAGAAGCAGTGCAGGCCCCATGTGCGCGATGGGGCGATGTGCGCCACGCGTGCCAGGCGGTCCAGGTGCGCCAGGCACCCCTGGGGCCCAAGCGTGCCAGGCACGCCTCGCGCGCCAGATGCGCCACGTGCTCCACGTGCGCCATGTGTGCCGCATGGTCCAACCGCGTCAGGTGCGCCACGTCCAGGGCACGCGCAGAGTGTGCCAGGTGCGCTCCCGCGCACGTGACAGCCAACATCGGGAAGCATCCAGAGCGCAATCGCGGCAGGGACGCCATCATGGTGTCTGGTGGGCTTGCGCGCAGCAGGCAATATGCCAGCACCCCCGCGGCCCTTGTCAAAGACCAGTGGGCAGTGCTCGCGGGGTGGCCGTGCATGATCCAGATTTCGCCACGAAGTGCATGTTGTATGGTTTTGACAGGGATGGTTGGCTTGCGCAAAGCAGGCAATACGAGGGTACCCCCGCCGTCCTGGGCACAATACAGGACAAAGTGCCCACGGATGAGGGGGGTGTTGGCACTAGTCCTGGTTGGCTGTCGGTCGCCTGGGGGAGGGGGTGTTTATTGATAGGGGGCAGTGACCAGCCTCTACCACACGGGGGGCAGAAGGGGGGTTGGAAGAGGAAACGCTCTAAACCACTCACGCCACGAAGGGCTGGTGGGACTTGCTGTTCTACGCAGCATTTTGGTGCATTGCTTGAGTGTTGTGCTAAACGACGCGTTGATGTATGTCGCGTGAGGTGTTCGAGAAGTTTGCAGCAAGGTGCATGACGTGCTCCTTCATGTCAGCCCGTGCCATGTCGTAATGTTAACCAGTTGCCTGCGGCAAGTCCTGCCACCGTATACCAGGGAAGAACTCTGTGTGGCGCGGCTTCGAGTATCAGCCAGAAGGCCGTAACATACTACCTTTCGTTTCTATTTCTAGAGGGGCTCTCCTGGGAGGTTGTCCAATCTCTCCCCGGGTCGTTTTGGGTCCCTCTTGGGATATTATTGGATTTTCTTGGTGCTGTCTCGGGATGTGTCGCCTGGGGAGTACATTGGGGCTGTCTTGACGGCCTCTTGAGCCATATGACGGCCCTCTGGGCCTGTCCTGGGCCCTTCTTGGACAGACTTGAGCTCCTTCGAGGCCTTGTTGGAACAACCTTGAGCCGAGAAGCCCAGGAATAACCAAATATTTTAACCTACGCAAGTCCTTAGGTTTTGAACGACTCTGCCCTCCTGGTTGTCGCTTCGATGTCTTGGAAGCCTCTTGGGGCGCGTCTTGGCGCCTCGTGGCGTCTTCTTGGTCTGCCTCTTGAGGTAATGTCGGGCCGTCTTGGCGTCCTTTGTTGCCTTATTGGGCCGTCATGGAAGCGCGTTCGACAGCCCCGAAGAGGCGTTCTGGCACCCATAATCCCCCAGGAGGGAAAGGGGACGCACGCGACTAAGCGTTACCCGATCAGGGAAGGGCCCTTCGAAGACTTACATTAGCCCTTCCAGACAGCACTTGCTATTCTACCACGCCTCAACGTGCCAGGGGGCACGGTGGAGGATCTCAAGACATGTAGTGCCATTGCTCGCTATTCGGACTGGTAGGCAGGCACAGTTTCAGGGGTGCTGGAAGGCATAACCAGAAGGAGGGCTCACCAGCATCCTTAGCAACCAAACCATAGCTTGCACTCTTTTGTCTCAGCGCCATAGAGAGACAATGTGATCCTTCCGTGGATTCTCATGTACGTCTGTTCAAGCTGCCTTGAGGCATGGAAGAAGATCCTGACCTCCAAGAGGGGATCTGTCGCTCCTGGAGCAGGCACCCCACCGAATACCTTCGTTCATGCTTAATTCATCGTCAGTCGTCTTTGTGATTGCAGCCGCTTCGTGATCATCATGTCACGATGCGAGCCTCTGAATGCTCGAACTTTTAATGAGAGAAGGAGGGCCGAGACGTGCAGGGAAGCGGTCGCATGCAGATACTGGAAGTATTCATGTATGGAGTGGCTTGAAATGTATGCTACTCTGTAATGCTTTGCCCCCTGGCGGCGACCGCTAAAGTTACCACCATGTTATCGCACTTGCCACTTGCCATTGATAATTTGTGGCGTGGATGTGACTTACAAAAAAAGAAGCCCTGCTCAGGTTCCCCGGGCGACTCGGTCAGTCCTGGCGTGACAGCTGCGTCGAAAGCTCGCGAGGACGCTCCTGCTGCCACTGTGACCGTCTTCCTTTTCCGGCTGCTACTATTGCTGGCGCCATCGACGCTGCTGTTGCACATGTCCCTCTGTCTTTGTATCTACCGCCGCCTCCGGCTTCTCGCTTCCCTCCGCAGACAGCTGTGAAGCATGCACACTTTTCTCGCAGGAGGGGTCGTCAGGGAGAGGGGAAGATGAAGGACCGCCACCTGGCCCAGCACCGCAGGCATGGGAACCTTTTTTCCAATCCCAAACTGCGTCCCCAACAAGAGCCGAAGGATACCCGAATGCTGTCGCGCCTAGCTTGCCCCGCATTGGCAGACGCGTGAGTTCGAGCACCAGGATGTTCCGCACTGGTGGACACGCGGGTCGGGACGCCCCTCATCAAATTCTGAAAGGGCCTGCTCCTGGAAAGAGCGCTCTTTGGATCCATCCACTCCTTCACTTCAGATTTTGTTAGTGGGGGTGGGTGCAGCATGGTTTGATAGGTTTCACTGTCTTTTCTTTCGGACGTCCACTGGCACAGTCGCGCGCGCTAAGTGAAAGGCAAGTTACTTGTAATATAGCCGTAGGCTCATGACGATCCCGGGGGGCTGTACCATGTTGCCTTCAGGGCTCAGCATCAACACGTATCTACCTCAAATGGAAAACAAACGCAGCCACCGTCGGTAGCTTTCGCTGTCGAGGTCCTCAGAGCTTGTCTGGTTTGGCTCCCTGGTTTGGCTTCCGTTGGCGGCGCGCCAGCCTGAGAGGTCCTCACAGTCTGCCTGCTTTGGTCCATCGTCTGGCTTGGTTTTGGGCCGGTTTCACCTGGGAGGTCCTGGCAATTCTTCTGGTCTGCCTGGTTTTGGGACCGTTTCGCTCGAGAGGTCCTCGCACGATGCCTGGTTTGGCCTGGCTCAGTGCAGCTTTCGCTCGAGAGGTCCTCGCAGTGTGCCAGGTTTGGCATGGTTAGGTCAGTTTCACTTGAGAGGACTTCGTAAGTTTCTTGGTCAGGGTTGAGGGGTCTCGCTTGGCCTGGTGTGGGTACGCTTCATTTCGCACGTCCTCTCAATTTGCTTGGCTTGGGCCCTCTTTTGACCTGGTGGAAATTGTCACTTCGAATCCGTTGTGCTTGGTCATGTTACACTGTACGCTGTGCATGACATAATGAATCCTTCACACATGTGGTGGCTGGAAGCCTTGGAAAGCGTCGCAAAGTCCCAGGAAGGCGTCGGACCGCCCCGAGAGCCTCGGGAGGGAGGGGGCGATGCGCGTAGTTGGGTGTGGTGACGGGGGGGAGAGGGGCCTCTCGAAGACGCACAGGAACCCTATCAGGCAGCACTTGGCATTCTACCGCACCTCAGCGTGTCGTGCCACGAGGCACGGAGGCAGTTGGTGTGCGCACTCACCACATTGCGTTCCACATTCGGCAAATACAGGGCTAAGCCCTGACACGCACGGTACTTCTGGGATCGTCAGTGTTTTTTCCCACCACCGTGCAGCCCTCACACACTTGGTGCGTGCGGCACTTCGGCGGGAATGTTTACAGTTGGCTCTAGGGGGAACTGAAAACCAGTCCCGAGCTTTTAGTGGGTATAGGTGGCAGCGGTAACGTGGCACACACCATTGAAGAATTCGTGCCGCCAGTGACTTGCATCATGTAAGACGAGGGATAAGGATCATCCAGTCCCAGAAGAGCCCAGCGATCGACACCTTGAGGGCCTGTGTGAAGGAGGCACCCTGAGGCATCGCACCAGGAGGCTTCCCGATTCAGGAAAGCCACTGCCTGGAGGGTGCGGAGGAGCATGGCAAGGGCGGGAGGATAAGAGAAGGGGGATGATGATGCTGCTGCTGCTGATGATGAGGATAATGATAATGATAATGATGATGATGATGATGATGATGATGATGATGATGATGATGATGATGATGATGATGATGATGATGATGATGATGATGATGATGATGATGATGATGATGATGTTGATGATGATGACGACACGACGATAATGATGAGGTTGTTGCTGCTGATGATGATGGTGATGATGATGGTGGTGGTGGAGGTGGTAATTTGTGATGATGATGATGAGGAGGAGCAGGTCATATGGCATTCCACGACCGTGGCCATGAAATTTGGTAAGTCAGCAAGGAGGGGAAATGGAGGGAGAGGGGAACTGTAGGAACTCCAAGATGTATCAACGATGCTGCAGTGCACCCTCGTGCCCCAAATGCTCTCCTCTCTAGTCCCTGCAGTCTTTCTCGTTCCCTGCGCAAGAAATCGCCTCATTTGAAAGACGAGGGCGCCCCACGGGCCGGTTCTGGCGGGATCTCTCCGTTCTGAAAGGCACTTCCCTCCGCCTCCGCGCCAGAAGGAATGTGACAAGGTCGGTTCATATAGTCCTCGCTTGTCCCTTCTTCGCGCATGCCGCACGCTCCTTCCTCTTTCAGGCCACGGCTCATTGCGCAAGTTTGCCTATTGCAGGTCGGCTCTTGTAGTGTTCCCGGTCTGCCTGACGACCTTTTGATTCGCACAGCGGTCGAGGCCGAGTCAGGTGACGTTCTGTGGTCGCGTTTCTTCCTCCTCTTCTTCGAAAAAAACTCAAGGAAGCGCCCCAGGACAAGCCTGCTTTGAAATGGGAGCGCTCTCCATCCGTGCAACTGTTGCACAAACTGCGAGATGTGTCGTCACCAAACCGAAAGAAGTCTCAAGCGGGAGCTCCATTCTGAAGTGGAACGGCCATCAATCCGTGTAGCCGTTGCAAATGTCTTTGGTGGTAGAGTCAGAATTTTTAGCAGGCGCGATACTCCATGTAACAAAGAACTGCCCTCCAGCCGTGTAGCCGTTCGGTGCTCCTAGACGAGTGTGCGCGGTGCCGAGGCGAAAGTCGCATTTTGAAGGCGATGCGCCCTCGATCTGTGTAGCTCTTGCGAATTTCAGCTTTAAGATCTCAGATTGCGGGGTAGTGTCGGGCCAAGCGACCGGCCCGCCCTGACCCCACACTGTCTGTTAGTGCGACAAGGATGAGTTATCTCAAATGGAGATGGGCGGGGGTTTGTGGGATGGGGGGAGGAAGGAAGACGGAGGAGGAGGAGGAGGAGGAGGAGGAGGAGCCGGAGGTGGATCAGGAGGATAATGATGATGATGAGGAGGAGGAGGAGGAGGAGGAGGAAGGGGAGGAGCCGGAGAATTATGATGAGGGGGAGGACCCGGCGTAGGAAGAGGAGCAGGATGAGGAGGGGAAGGGGCAGGGGTGAGCAGGGGAAGGGCGAGGAGTGAGGATGCGGGGCAGGGCCGCCTTCCTCCTCCTCCTCCTCGCTCATTGACGCCCCTCGCTCCTCCCTTTTCTCTTTTCCCTCCTCACCTTCCCCCCTGCTCACCCAGGGGCGGCAAGGTCCTTTCAGAATCTCTGGCGGGCGGTACGCCCCCCCCTGGAGTGTGTGTGTGTGTGTGTGTATATCTGTGTGTGTGTGTGTGCGAGTGTGTGTGTGTGTGTGTGTGTGTGTGTGCGAGTGTCTGTGTGTGTGTGTGTGTGTGTGTGTGGCTGAGTGGGCCGGCCGCGCGCGCTGCTCGCTGCTCGCCCTCGGTCCCTCTGCGCCTCGACGCTGCGGGCGAGGCCGCGGCGCCAAAGAGCGTGTGTGTGTGTGTGTGTGTGTGTGTGGTTTGCTGTCGGAGTCAGGCTTCGCCACCCACCAAACCACCCCAGCCCAACCCGAAGGCCTCCAATTGACCTCCATTTCCAGGGAACATCGAGAAAACACATATGGAACCCGTACCCCCCCCAGGCCGAAATTCGGGTCCTCGGGTTGGGTTGGGGTGGTCTGGTAGGTCGTCAAGGCTGGGCCCCAGGGGGGAGGCTCTCGCGGCACGCCCCGGGCGCGCCCGGGAAGTCCTGGCCCAGCGGGGGTCCAGGCGGCCAGGCCTGGCCGCGGCTGAGGGGGGGGGGGGGGCAACGTCGAGCTCGAATCGGCGGTACATCGCCGACTGATCGGCGAGAGGCCCCCGATAGCGAATATCCGAGCGGTCCTGGGCATGGGCTGTCGCGCTCGCCCCGTCGGCGATCCCTGTGCGAAACCGGGGGGCGAGGCATCCACCCCTGAGCCTACCCCCCCCCCTCCTGGCGTTGCCTCCCGGTGGCGTTTGCGGGCCGCCGCCGAGATGAAGATGCGCCAGAAGAAGGCCCAGGGGCCGAGCCTCATGACTTCCGAGGCGTGCGGCCCGGGCTCCGCGCGCGGAGGGCGTGCTCGGGAGGGGCCGTCGGTCGGTCGATCGGATGTCCTCGATGGGGTCTCGTCCTGCAAGCTGCAGCGGGGGGGGGGCGTGACAGGGAATGTGAAGTCGCGGTCTCAGGAAGGGGTGATGGAGGAGGCAGGAGTCGGGTTGGATGCACGGGTGGATGGATGCAGGGAGAGCGTGGGAGTCGCGTAGTAGTAGTAGTAGTAGTAGTAGTAGTAGTAGTAGTAGTAGTAGTAGTAGTAGTAGTAGTAGTAGTAGTAGTAGTAGTAGTAGTAGTAGTAGTAGTAGTAGTAGTAGTAGTA